TATATACACACACACACACACACACACACACACACACACACACACATACACATATATACACTTATACACACACACACATATCATACTTGTTGAGGCTGGGGGAACCCTGGGTGTCATCCTCAGAAATCTATCTCCTTTGCAACAAGGTCTTTTATTGGCCGGGAGATCACCAATTAGAATAGACTTGCTGGTTCAAGGAACCCCAGAGTGTTTGGATTACAATAGCTTATGACCATACCTATTACTTTTGTGTTTTGAGAAAGGGCCTCACTATGCAACTCTGGTATCCTGGAACTTACTATGTAGACCAGGCTGGCTTCCAACTCACAGAGATCCACTTGCCCCCCAAATACTGAAATTGAAGGTGTTCACCACCACACCCAGCCTCATACCTCATACTTTTATGTGGGATCTGGAGATTGAACTCAGATTTTTGCTTGCAAACAAAATGCTTTACTCATTGAACCAATCCCACTCAGACCTATTTAAAATCGCACACACACACACACACACAAACACACACGTGTGTATGTGAGTGAGCATGGAAGCCAGAGGTCAATCTTGGTGTTGTTCATCAGGAACCATTGACCTTGGTTTTTGAGACAGAGTCTCTCACTGTGACCTGGGGCTTGCTAACTATGTTAGATTGTCTGGGTAGTGAGCCCCAAGGATTCTCCCCAAGGCTGGGATTATAATCATGCACCATCACATCTTTTTAGATGGATGCTGGGAATCGTACTCAGGTCTTTATGACCTATCTCCCTGGTCTCTACCTGGCCCTTTACACAAAGATATGTTTTTCCAATGGCAATCCAGGTAGCAAAAGGTCATGGCAGACAATGCATTCGCGAATAGGCACAGCTTTGATTGACTTGACATCTTAACAGAAGCAGGTGACAGCTTGGCTTGCCCACAGGATTCTCAGGCAAAAGCTATGCTGCACAGATAGACAGCACACGGATAGACAGACTGTCCAACTGTCCATGGCTGATCACTGCAGTTTCCTGATATGGAGCTGTGCTCACAGTCGGTGCTACATAAAACTGACTGTTGGGTCTCCCCACTGGAAGTGGGACCAGGAACAACATTCCAAAGTGAGGGGCACAGAGACCCAGACACAGGTAAGACCTCTTCCAGAGACAGCCTTTCCTCCTGCTCTAGAGTCCCACTGAAACAGATGGCTTCAGTCCCAGGTTAGCTCTTCATTTGCCGGCTCACCTTGAAGCAAATGCAGGGGGCTGCCTGTGTCACCTGGCATTCATAGCTCTTCCTTTAGAGGCAGCACCTCCACTTCTGCCCGGCCCTGATCTTGCTCAGCTTGCCTGCCTTCCTGCTTGGATTTGCCATAGTGGTTTTCTGCCTCCAACCAAAATGGAAGCGACAGATCACACTCTGAAATAAGTGCTCCAAAAAGACTCTAGTGAATTCTTCATCCATCGGCCCCGTGAGCATCAACCACGCACACTGCTATGTACACGGGGCTACCCTGAATCCCAGTGCTTCCGAAATCAGCAATTTAGCAGGATTTTGGTTTGTTTTTTACATTTCCAATTACCCATGATTTTCTAGTGAATTTACTTAAAAACAAAACATGTAGTATTCAGAAGCAGTTTTTGTTGTTTGCAACCAGAGAATTTGGCGTGACTTCCTAACGAGTCTTGTAGGTTCCAGAAAATAACAGATTGCTTTTCCATACACACCAGGCCATGCAGCTTCATACCGAAGAGAATTTCAACCCTTCAGCAAGGACTCCTTGATTTGCACAAATCTACACACACACACACACACACACACACACACACACACACACACACACACCTTTATAGAGAGGTCTATCGGGCTAAGTTGCAACAGAAGCAAAGGACAAACAAACACAGCATCATGGTAGAAGCAGGCCACTCCCACCTTCCTCCCAGTCCCTGCCCACTGACTCACATGTATGCCTTGTAGTTGGATCCAATCTTCTGTATGCGGATGTCATACTTGGAGTCGATAAAGGCTTCAGTGGTGGCATAGGTTTTGGCCATGGCCACCACACTAGTGATGTCCTGGTAGTCATGCTGGTTTTCTACTTTGATCTGTGGGGCAAGGAGGACATGTGAGTGTGGCTGCCCAGACCAGGACAAGGTGCTCCATCAAAGAGAAGGTCACCTGACTTGCAGGGACATAGACGCAGGAGGTGAACAATCCCACTACCTGCTTTCCCAAGGAACAGAAGAGGAAGGGGCCAGTTCTAGCTGGGAAGGCAGGGGCTCTTGAGAGAACAGGTGAGCTCTGAAGGGGTTCAGAATGATTAATACTTTTATTTTGTTTGGACAAAGGGTCTCCCTATTGTTGTCCTAATGTTCCCTATGTTGATTAGATTGACCTCAAATTTGTGGAGATCCTCCTGTCTCTGCCTCCTGAGTGCTGTGCTAGATTAAAGGCATACACTACCATGAATATACATTCAGAATATGTGGCTGGCTGGCGATGTGGGGTGGGGGTCATAGGGAACATTAGGGCCTCTCGGGAAGAATAGCTGGTCACCTGGTTGCTGGGGATAGGAAAGTGGGGACAATGGTTGGATGGTATCCTAGGGAACAGGTCCTGCTAGCTTTGATCAGATGCGCAGGTTTCAGGCAGAAGGTCCAGATGTCACAGAAAGAGATTGGTATTTAAAGGAGCAAGTGCCTTAATTTGTGTTTTCAGAACAATCACTCAGTTGTGTAAGGGGTTGAATGGGAAAGTGTGGTGGGCAACAGAGAAACCAGTTAGAAACACGTGGTGTGTGTGTGTGTGCCTGTGTGCATGCATGTGTTGTGTTTGCATGTATTTAGTGGATGCTCCATGTATGGTATGTTTTTGTACATTCATTGGTATTTACTGTGTTTATACCTGGTGTGTATAGAGTAGTGTGTACGAGTGTGTGTTTGGATATGTGCATGAAGTGGACAGGTTGGCTTTGTAGTTCAGAAGCTTGTGGGAGACACATGCCCTGTTTACTGGGTTGAGGCCAGGACCACAGGGTGGTGTCTTGCAGTAAGAAAGAGGTCTCAAGAGAGCTCCCTAGACCAAGGGTGGGGTACAAGGTCAAGGCTCTGTGACAGTGGCCTAAAGGCACTGCAGAAGCTAAATCCTAGAGTCTGTGGAAAACAGGGTGGAGTGCCCCTTCCAGGTGGCCACAAGGGCGCTACTTGTCTAGACTGGTCTTCTTCCTGGCTTCTTCACATTGTCAGTTGAATATTCTAACGCTGGACCAGAGGCAGGTAGAAGCCCCAGAGTGCTGAGCACAACGGCAGTCTGGATGGAACAGGGGAAAAGTGGGACTGACCCTCAGGGCTGGCTTTCCCTCGCTCTCGTCCTTTTCCTGTCGGCTGGGATGTGGCCCACCACTGGCTTCATGGATAAGAAGTGGATGATTCACATGGTGGAAGGAAACCGGCCCCTCGAAACCAGGGAGGCTCCATACCAGCCCTGGGTTCCTTTTTACCCAGTTCCATTAGGGGAAACAGAAACTTCTAGTTTGTTTTGACAATTAGACTTTATCTCAATCACAATCTAAACCTTAAAGTGCACCTGGGATTTTGTTCATATTGGGGACAAAAGAGAACCAAAAGGGAAAGTATCGATAATTATAGCTTAATCAGTGAGCCAGTATGTCAGCCCAACTTCCTGTCTGAATAGTTGGGGAGGGGGGAGTGTCACTCATCCTGCCCCCTCCAGAGCTGGCATAACTCTTTCTGGGTTCTTTCAAAAGAGTCAAATGTCCCTAGCAACAGGCTGATCTTTCTTTTCTTTTCTTTGCCTTTCTTTTTATTTCTTTTCTTTTTTCTCTTCCTTTCTTTTTGTTACAGAGGGTTCCCTAGACTGTACAATGCTGGGGTTTCAAAAATAAAAATCCTGGCCCTGCCCTGGGTCTTCTGTGCCTACCTCCCTTTAGATGCTGATTTTCTTGGGGATGGACAATGATTTTTGTTCAAAGTCATAATATTCATGTGAGGCACAGTGTAGGTGTTAAAAGGTGTTTTCTGGAATGAATGTAAGAAGCTGGAGGGAGACTAGAACTTAGAGTCGGGAGAGTATCATGGCAGTGGAAGACATCAGTGAGTCAGAGAACGAAAGAAAGTGTGCTTTGGGGGTGTACATTTTTTCCATCAGGGCTGTGTGTGTAAGCCCACAGTTGGTGCTATGAAGCATCCTCAGTCATGGTCCACATTATTCACAGAAGTCTTTTGATCGAGCCAGAGCTCACCCACACAGCTGTCTTGCTAGCCAACTTTCTCAGGGCTTTCCCATCTCTGCCTTCAAGGAGGAGCTTCTTGATGGAATTACAGGCAGGCTGCCATGCTCACCCACCACTTATGGGGGTTCTGGGGATCTGAACTCTAGTCCTCATGGTGAGAGCTTAACCATGGACCCATCTCCCCAGACCCAGACTGTACAAGTATGTCTTTTTATAAAATGAAGTCTTTCGGGTGTCTAGGCTGGATCGACCCTGTTAGAGGGTTATAGCTTCTGTAAGACATTCCTGCGGATGAAATAGAATCAGGGATTCTGGAGAGGGCTCTGGGATGGTCCTTGGGCCAGGGATGGAGGGTGTCGAGGGCCATGAGAAACACAGCTGTGGGAGGTAGAGCTGGGCCCCGAACAGGGAAACTTGGTACTCTGCCCGATTTACTGGCTGGAAGTCTCCAAGGTTTCCCAAAGATGTGATAAAAACAAGGAAGGCCCAAATGAACTGTGATGCAAGGGGACCCATGTGCTGCCCAGAGTGTGGGGCCAGACAACAACCGCGGAGATGCAGCCTCCCCTCCCCCTCTCGCCTGCACCCCTGCTCTTGTCTCCCCTCCCTGCCTCTCTCTGCCTTCTCACGTCTTCCTTCCTCACCCCATCTTTCCTCCCCTCTGAACATCTTTCTCTCCCTTTGTTATCATGCTCCATCTTCTTGTCTAATTTGTTTCTTACGGTTGCTCCTTTCACCCCGTTCTCTCTTTCCTCTTCAACTTGTCTTTCCCTCTCTCATTGTTAGGCTCCCCCTGCTCTCTGTCTTCTGTGACCCCTCTGTCCCTCCTGCACACCATCTCCACCATACTGATGCTCAGGGTTTCCCCTGCCTGTCCCTGACTGCCTGTAAAAGTGCCTTTCTTCTCTCATGTGCAAGTGTATATGTATACACATGTGCACACGTGTGTGCGTGTGAGTGTGTGCACACACACGCCGTCTTGAGGAGAAACTAGGAGGGAAAGCATCCAAAGAGAGCAAGAGGAACTGCAGAAGGGCCAGGATTCCAGTCAGACTCTTCCAGCAGGAAGTCTGAAGACCTGAAACTCCAGCACGGGACAGGAGGATGATCTCCATCCCCAAAGGATGTGCTCAGATATCTCCAATGAGTTTGGGGCTTGTGATGGTCCTGGCAGCTACTCCTTCTTCAAGAGCCTCTATCTTGTTTTACTATGTTTTGGCTTAAGAATGAATGAATGGTCCAAGTGGGTGGTCTTGACCTCTGCCTGTGTCTGCTCTTCATCTATGTGAAGATGATGACGGAGACGGATTGTGGTGCTGAGGGTTACAGGCTAAAAAAAAAGTTAACTCAGCAAAAAAAAAAAAAAAAAAAAAAACCCAACCTAGAAAAGCAGTGATTCCCATGGTTACTTGAAATAATCCTGTGTGTAAGCCACCATGTGATATATTGTTGAGTCACTTCATTGTCAGTTTTTAGAGATGCTTCCTCCATTTGACTCATTTTACTTTTTAATTATGTGGTCATACGAATGAGTAAGTCTAATCACCATCCAATCCTCAGGAGTTTGCCTTTGGCCGTTTGCTTAGAGTAACGCGGTGTGTTGAATAGGAAGTGTCCTCCCTACAAGCGCGTGTGTTTGCACCCTCAGTCTCCAGCTTAAGGAGGTTGTAAAGCCTTCTGGATATGCAAATTAGCTGGCTGACATGAGGCTGCCGTGGTCCAGGAACACAGTAGATGCTATTTAAATATGTAAACATATTTTTGTAGGGGTGGGACTAGAAAGTTTACAGCCAGTCCCCATGTGACCTGAGATCCCTACTCCCTAGTCCATTACTGAGAAGCTAGAGCAACAAGACCAACAAATACATATACATATTTAAATAACATTTACTGTGATCTTGGACCTCTGCAATGAGCCTCAGCTTTCATGATCCTACACAGCAAAGAGGTGAAATGGGATCTGGATAAGTGTGGGGGAGGGAGGTAATCTTGCCACTGAAGGAATGATGGTAGAAAATGAAGTGTTTACCTATGGTTCTATACCAGCAAAACCCCTCAACAACTATCCAATTAAAGTAAACCAACTTCTATTGAGCCCCTAGAATGTGGTAGGCCTTATGCTAGGGAAGTCCTTGGACAATTATTATAATTTAATTAAAAATCATAAACTTCTTACAACGTAGTTACTATCTCAGATAAGAATTAAGAAAAGCAAAGTTCAGAGAAGTAACTTAAGGAGTGGCTGAAAACCGGTCTGAGAAAGGTCCACCAAGATCAAGAGTGACGTAGAGCTGAGAGCAACGGTTAACAGAATGAGTTGGGAAGATGGATGAGAACACAGGAGCTAAACACTGACTGGGAAAGTGCAAAACTGTCCTCTGGAACTGGAATAGCCAGTCATCCAAGTCCAAGGAGAGATGTGGACTTTCAGGATTTCATTATCTAGAATTATCTAGAGGCATGTAGCTCCATATGCATCTCAGCAGGACAAATACTGGGTTAAGCTGCATTAGTAGAGGCAAGGCAGTTAACAGGTATCAAGTCCCATAGATAAGAACAGCCAGGCTCCTGCCTCTCTTGTACACCCATACTTCAGACCAGTACCTCTTGTCATAAACACTGTTATACCCTCTTAGCTAAGGGTTTTGAGTCCTAATTTTACCCAACTGTAGCTTGAAAATATTTGGCCGAAAATTCTGTTCCTACTAAATACATAAAACCTTTTTTGTCATTATTATTTAAACAACAACAATGATTTACAAAGTATATATATCATCTTATATATGATAAGTAGAAGTGGTTAAAAGTATGCAGGGGTGTATAAATGTGTGTGCTATGTGCCAGCATAAAAAT